ACGTGCTGGGGAGAGGGTCACTGATGGCGGAATGGGGGGGTCCTCTACAGCCAATATCAGGGGCATCCTGGTTGCAGGGTGACACGCTGGGGAGAAGGTCACCAATGGCAGAATGGTGGGGGTCCTCTAGGGCCAGAGTCGGGGGCATCCTGGCGTGCATCACGCAGCGTGGGAGGACCAGGGGCTGGGGTCTGCGTTAGTGTTTTCAGCACGTGTTTGTTTTGTGTGGAGTAAAAGACATGTGTGATCCAGATAAACTGCCATAACTGGTTCATTTTCTTCTTTTTCTTATAATCGGTTGTCCGTACAGTGTTTGTTGAGAAGGTGCTGCAGAGACTTTTTCCTAACGTTCCAAGTGGCCAAGAAAAGAAGGAACCCCGGACGCTGGCCATCCAAACACCGCCCAAGAAAGTGACCTCTGAGAAGGCGACACAGAAGCCTGTTCAGCCTTTGACAGGTGAGGTTGTTTGCAGCTGTGGGGGTCTCCGGGATGGAAGTTAGCCACCCATCGTCACCCTCACTCGCCCTGGAGAGTGTGTCTTCTGGGCCTTGGGCTTCTGTCTGCAGATGGCCTGCAGCAGGAGGGCAGGGCAGGCGCCACTCCTCACACAAGCTCCGCCACAGCCCCTGTGGACGCCCCAGAAGGCCAGGTCAGGGTGCTGCTTTTGGTGGGTCACTGACTCACGTGCTCTGAAGATGGCAATTGGCCTGTGACTGGGGCTCGGCCTAGCTTTCCTGTCCTCTGAGGAAAGCAGGTACCTCCTCCACCATGACACGTGACCCCAGTCCCTGTAGCGGCCCCGCATGGCCTCCTTGGCCCCGTTGCCTTGTGTCCACTCAGGGACAGGCTTCTAATAGCTTGGCCCGTGGTCTTAGGCCATTGTCTGTCCCATGACAGCCCACATGAGCTCTCGTGGCCACAGGATCATCCGCCATGAGAGTCCCCTCAACTCCGGCTCCCGCAGTGCCGCTCCACTCACCTGTGAGACTGAGAGAGGCCCCCACGGAGAGACGGGAATAGACCGCCTGGGTGCAGCACATGTGGGCAGGTCCATTCGCTTCCAGTAAACACCTCAGTCCACAAAGCCTGAGAGAGGCCGGGAGGGTCCATTCGGCTCCCAGTAAATACCTAAGTCCATAAAGCCAGACGTGGGGACCTGAGTGCCGTTTCTGGGGGTCTCTTTCGTTTCTCTTAAGCAGTGGTCTCTCACTGGACAGTTGAGTTCCTGAGAGTGGCACGGTCTCCAGTTTTCACATACCTTACAACAGCTCCAATGGGATCTCAGCAGACAGCCCCCATCATCCCACAGATCAGCTTCTAGCCCCACAGCTCAGACCTCCGTTCACTGTGAACCCATTTTACCTCAGACGTGATGTTCCACATGGCGATTCCATTTCCAGGCCAGCTCAGAAGCGTGTCTGAGCTGTGATGTGACGGGTGCCATGGACACCATTCTGGTCCAGGATAGAAGACAAGTGAGAAGGAAAGTTTCCTTCACGTCTTCTAGATAACGGGGTTACGCCAGGCACACTCTTCCTGTGGGACAAATCCATGTTTTCCGTATTCCCTTTCTGCATTTTTTCCCAGATGGCTCAACGTTTTCAAATGGTCCAAGCTCCTGGTATAGTAGGACAAGTTCTGACGAAGGAGTAAATGACTGCTGTTGGGCGTAGTTTTACCTTTTAAAGAATATACCTATTACAGGCTAGGTTGCCCCCACCACAGCCGCCACCAGCAAATTCTTGTTGAAGTCCTAACTAACCCCCAGCACTTCCGAATGTGATTGTATTTGGAGATGGGCTTCTAAAGGTGATTAAGGGTAAATGAAGCCATCAGGGTGCGCCCTAATCCGGTATCACTGATGTCCACATTCGAAGAAAAGATCAGGACACACGTACATACAGAGGCTTGACCCTGTGACAACAGAGGAAGCAGCATCTGCAAGGCGAGGACAGAAACCTGCCCTGCTGAGACCATGATCTTGGACTTCCAGCCTTCAGGACTGTGAGAGAACAAATGTCTGTTGTTTAATTCACCCAGTCTGTGGGACTCTGTAGTGGCAGCCCTAGAAAGCTAATGCACTACCCATTGTGCCTGTTAGAAATTGTCTTGCTTTTTCAATCCACTTAACAAAGTTTTTAAAGAAAAAGCAGTTATGAAAATCTCAAAGAAACAATAAAAAAGACTTCTGGAACTAATAAAGGTTTATAATAAGTTGTGCTTTACAAGGTCAATATACAGAAGTCAACTGCTTCCCTATATATCAGGAAAGAACAAGGGGAATTTGCAATTTAAAACACCCAGCACAATAGTGCTGGAACAAACTGGACATCCACATGCATAAAAATAGAGACACATACCTTAAACCTGTCATAAAAATATCTTATTAAAAATGGATCTTAGACCTAAGTGTTAAATGCAAAACCATAAAACTCCTAGAAGATAACATGGGAGGCAGTCTAGGTGGCCTTGGGTTCAGCAGTGACTTTTTAGATGCAACACCAAAGGCTCAATCAATGAGCGAAAGAATTCGTCAGCAGATGTCCAGTCGATAACTTGGACATCGTTAACATTAAAACCTTCTGCTCTGTGAAAGACACTTGTCAAGAGAAGGAAAAGACAAGCCACAGACTTAGAGAAAATATTTTCAAAAGACGTATTTGACAACGGACTGTTATTCAAAATGTTCAAAGAATTCTTAAAAGTTAGTAAGAAAATGGGCCAAAGATGTGGACGTTACCAAGGAAAATATGTAGGTGGCAAATTATCATATGAAAAGATGTTTCACATCATATGTCATCAGGGAAATGCAAATTAAGGGAGTGAGACACCACCGCACACCTTCTAGAGTGGACAAAACCCAGCACGCTGGCAGCACCAGATGCTGGTGGAACAGGGGCTCTCATCGCTGCGTTTCTTCCACAGCTAAACATACTCTTTACCTGTATGATCCAGCAGTTTTGCGCCTTGACATTTATCCAAATAAATGGAAAACTTCAGTAAACCTGCACATGGCTGTTAACAGCAGCTTTATTCATAACTGCCAGCACTTGGAAGCAATGAAGATGTCCTTGAGCAAGCAAATGAATCAGGAAATGGTGGTACTTCCAGACAACGGGAAATTATTCAGGCCCCAAAAGAAATGAACTATCAAGCCATGAAAAAACACGAAGGAACCATAAACGCTTATTACCAAGTGAAAGAAGCCACTCTGAAAAGGCTACACACTGTGATTCCAACTTTGTAACACTGTGGGAAAGCAAAACCGTGGAGGCCCTAAAAAGATGAGTGATTACCGGGGCCTGGGAGGAATAGGTGGAGCCCAGACGGGGTTTCACTGTCTGACAGTTGACTTTCCTAGGACACTGTGGACTTCTCTAGGACACTTGACTTCTGTAGGACGGTGAAACCACCCTGTGTGACGATGCTGTGATGGTGGGCGCAGCTCATTCCACCTTGGCTCCAACTCATAGGATGTACAAGAGTGGACTCCAGTGTGAACTGCAGACTGGGTGGTAACACTGTGTCGCTTAGGCTTATTGATTGTAACACCGTACAGCTCTGACGAGGATGATAATGGGGAGGATGCGTGATGCTGTTATGCCTTACAAGAAGCAGGCTGTCCCTAGTATTTCCTGTTTTTCTCTGAATTTTACTGAACCAACATTTTTAATCTTTTTTAAAATTCTGTCTTTATTTTATTTTTGCTTTTTCTTTCCTTTAACCTAACGAAAGTTTTAATGGTGATTGTTCCCAGTAACATATCCGGTGGTCAGAAGATGAAATTAAGTGGAAGCAGTTGAAGCTATATGCATAGATGGATGATGGATCATTTCTAAGTGAGAAAATAATATCTGTAAATTCCAGGCCAGTTTCATTCTAGAAGATACATATTTTCTTGCCTAAAGTGATTGACTTTGCACTTTTAAAATCACTGTTTAAAAATAAACACTTCAAGACCTCCTTTTCTCTCTGAAATTGTCAGGAGACAATTCTTTGCATTGCTATTCATGTTTTATTTTACTAAGTTATGCACTCATACAGCAGTGGCATATGGGAAGCTTTATGTCAGGAGGATTATTTCAAGTTGGTGTTGAAAGACTTCTTATTTTAAGTAGCTGGGTGCTTTGTGATTCTGACAAAGCACTTGGCCTTTGAAGTTGCTGGTGATCCTTTGGGTGATGTCTTTTCCACAAAGCTTCAGCATTCAGCTACTTCATTTTAGTGGCATTTGTAAGATACTGTTTGATATGAAGATGTTGAATTAAAAGTCAAAATACTGATGTGAGTTGACCTAGTCTCAAAGGTTAAAAGATGTTTTTTTCAGGGAGTGAATGAGAAGGTTGGGTGCACGAACCTTTTGCTGAACATTGGAAGCTGTGTCCGGGTGGAGGTTCCAGTGCAAAGTCAGGACAGGTGGGCACACCCCAGAGAAACAAGCTGTAGCCCGTGAGTGGTGACCCCACAGGACGAGGGTGCAGGCACTCCCCTGCTTCGATCCCCTCAGTGACTTGGTCGTCTCACATGTTTGATTTTGGAGGGTTCAGACTCTGGTCTAGCAAGTCTGATGTCTTTGGGTCAGTTGTCTTGACAGTTTAGACCCTTAAATTACAAGCAACCAAAACCACTTGGCCCTGGCTTAAATGGGAATTTGTGATGATAACATAGTGTCACAAGGGCAGAGGTAGATAAGTCTGCGTCCCAGAAGGGTAACTTGAAATTTACCATTTCAACTTAACCATTTCAAAGTATACAATTTAGTGCTTTTTAGTATATTGACACTGTTGTACAACCATTCCATTACCACCATCTAATTCCAGAATATTCTTACCATACCAAAAAGAAACACCTTGGCCAGGCACAGTGGCTCACCCCGTTATCCCAGCACTTTGGAAGGCTGAGGTGGGTGGATCACTTGAGGCTAGGAGCTGGAGGCCTGGGAGGTCAGGGCTGCAGTGAGCCAAAATTGTGCCACTGTACTCCAGCCTGGACAATACAGTAAGACCCTGTCTCAAGAAAGAAAGAAACTCGTTATCCCTTTACCCCGTGGCCCCCATTCCCCATTCCCTCTAGCCTCTGGAAACCACTGATCTGTTTTCTTTCTCTATAGATTTGTCTGTTCTGGACATGTCATATAAATGGAATCATGCAACGTATGGCATTTTGTGTCTGAGTTTTTTCATGTAGCATAATTTTTTAAAGGTTCGTTTATGTTGTAGTGTGGATCAGAACTTTGTGTTTTAAGGCTGAATAATATTCCTTTGTATGTGTTTTAAGGCTGAATAATATTCCACATTTTGTTTCTTCATTCATCAGTTGATGAACATTGGTTGTTTCTACTTTTTAGCTATTGTCAGTAACATTGCTCTGAGAATCCAAGTACATGTTCCTGTGTGGTCTGGTGTAGACGTATGTTTTTGGTTCCCTTGAGTTTACAATTAGGAGTGGAAATGCAG